AATATAAACAGAAAACTGGAAAAGGTAATACCTTGTATCTCTAGAATCTTCCATTATCATCATCACCATCAATACTTATTGAGTTCTGGTTGTGTTCTAAGAAGTAACATGAAAACTTTTAACTTTTATTATCTAATCTCCACAATTGCACGTGGGTAAATACTATCAAAACCCCCATTTTACAAAGTGGAAAAACCAAGCTTCAGAAAGATCGAGGCACTTGCATAAAATCACAAGCACATCAAGGAAAAGGATTTTAACCTTAACGGTTGGTCTCTAGACAGGCTATCTAGACAGGGATGTGTGTGAGACATCTGAGGCAATGGTGTGCATGGGAATCTTGACTGGGGGTTGCACCATTCCCCATAAAGGCATTTAGAAATGTGAGAGCATCTGTGGTGGTCTCAGTGATTTAGGGTTGCTACTGGCATTTGGTGGAAAGACTCAAAGTACTAATGTCCTGCCATCCTATGAATTGTCCCCCAATGAAGAATGGACAAATCCCCACACGCCTATTGGTAGGTATGTGACAGAAGTTCTTATAAGCTTATAAGCCACCCAGTCAAAAGTCATTGGTTATTTTGTATCCATGATTAGAGTGACCAGTTGGTTCAGTTTTGCAAATGATTACATCATGATGTCATCAAGAATTGAGGGTTGGCATGAACTCGTCCTCAGAGTCAGGTAGCAAATTCCAGCTACAAAACTAATAGACGGCCAACTAACCCTAAATTTGCCAACACTCTTGCAACTTGCCTAGAGCCTCATTTCTTTGAGATCCAGGAGGGCAGAGACCTTGCTGATCTTATTTTCCACTTGATAGAGATAAAGGAATAGCTAGAATAGAGCCTGATACATAATAGATGCTCAATAAACAGCCAGCTTGTGCTCCTCACCAAGCTATGTGCCCTGGTGCAGGGCTGTGTCTGCATGGAGAAAATGTGCCATCTTCAAATTCACACACAGGTACAATATGAGCTACCAGGAACCCAGTCTAGGGAGAAATTCTTGAGACATGTGTCCCTCAAATGGAGGTTAGGTATGCTTTCAACAAACAGACTTTCAATACATAGAGGAAGAAACACTTCTGTGTCCTTGACAATGCTTGATCCATCAACATCCAACAGAACAAGACATGTTGGACTAGAACCCATCTATGGTGTGCCACCTCCTAGTCTCCGGGGCCCCAGGACTCCCATTAATCTACATGGGGTGGTAGAAAGAACACAGAAATCCACAACTTGAAGAACACTCTTCTTGAATGTATATTTTTCCAAAGTAGTTTTCTTTGCCAGAACCTACTCTAACTTGGTGATTTTATGGAAAGCTTCTCAGGCTTGGTTTAACAAATAAAAGTATTCATTGTTTCGAGATCGTTGGCTCTTTTTCTTTACCATTCTGGAAGTGAATTATTTTGAGCTTTGTCAATATGTTCCACACAGTCATGTTTATATCAGTTTGAATCATCTTACAGTGCTTCTTCATTGGGATGGGATGGTCTTGGTATTGGGAATGTGTCCATTCTTCATTGGGGGACAGCCCCTAGCATGGAAGACATTAGTACTTTGGCTCTTTCCACCAAATGCCAGTAACACCCCAAATCACTGACAGCATCACAAATGCTCCCTTGCATTTCTAAATGCCTTCATGGGGAATGGAGCTGCCCCCATGGAGATTCCCTGTACACCACTGTTGTGCCTAAACTTATGAATTACAGAGAAGAGTTGAAAATAGCCAGGGCTGAACATCACAAGACACCCTAGGGGAGCAAACGCCTGGCAGAATTGGTCTCCCATCTTCCTTCTGCATATCCTTCCTGTCTCTCTTTGTCCTTTGGACTTTGGAGTCCTTGTGATGAAACTGATCAAGCCCAGAACTGCACTATATCAATGGGAAAACACTTCCAGTACCTTAGAGAAAGTGCAACAGGAAGGGTGTAGGACACGCTGTTTAGAATTTCTGCTTGTTTTCATATGTAGCACGATAGCTCCAGGTTCCAAATCTATACATCTGTCTGACAATACTGCACGTACCTAGTATAGTGCCAAGAGCTAAAATGCTTTGTTGTGTTTCATCCTTAACAACATTTTTGCTCAACTTAAAACAGCTTTCACATTCCCATTTTATAGACGAAGAAACCAAGGCTTTAAAAAGGTACAAAACTTGGCCGGGCATGGCGGCTCACGCCTGTAATCCTAGCACTTTGGGAGGCCGAGGTGGGTGGATCACTTGAGGTCAGGAGTTTGAGACCGGCCTGGGCAACATGGTGAAACCCCATCTCTACTAAAAATGCAAAAATTAGTTGAGCATGGTGGCTCACATCTGTAGTCTCAGCTGTTTGGGGTGACTAGGGTAGGAGGATTGCTTGAACCTGGGAGACGGAGGTTGCAGTAAGCTGAGATTGTGCCACCGCACTTCAGCCTGGGTGACAGAGCGAAACTCTGTCTAAAAATCAAAAAAAGAGAGAGATACAAAACTTGTCCATAGTAAACTATCCCCAGTGTCTGTTCTGGCAACAGAAGTCTCTTGCTGTAAAATTATTGAAAAAGGAGTGGGGGAGGGAATGGGGAAGAGGGGATTAGAAAAAGAAGTTTCAATTCAAAGCATGTGCAAACCTCATCTCCCAGGGCGTATCAAGCAGCATCATTAGTATCTGACCTGTCACTACCAGCTGGAGTGCCAGCTCATTTCAGACCAATGAGGGAAAAAGCCTTTGCAGGCAGTTTTCTAAGTGGCACTGGGAAAGGGGTGAATTGAATGCCTCATCAACAAACCACGATAGAATGTGGGCACCAGTTTCAGCCACAGAGTCTGCTGCTGCCTGGAGAATTTGGCTGCAGCATTGTTTCCAGACTCTCTGCAAAAAAAAAAAAGTCAAGACCGGATACCTGGGGAGAGGAAGGAAGGGAGGAAATTGGCTGGTTTGCCGGAAGGAACCGGATGCTATGGCTTCTGGGGATCCAGGATGGGAAAAAATGGTTAATGATTCATCCACACCACTCATTCATGCATGCATTCATTTCATAATACTTATTAAGCATCCACCACGTGCCAGATTTTCTTCTAGATGCTGAAGCTACAGGAACTGACAATATCCCTGCCCTCATAGAGCTTATATTTTAATGAGAGGGACACAGACTGTAAACATATAAACAATTAAAAGACTATATCAGATGGAGAGAAGCATTTTGGTCAAAAGGCAGGAGGGAAGGGGGAACAGAGCGTGAACAGGGTGGGTGGGTGGGGGGTCCTGATTTTAAACAGTAATCACAGAAGGCCTCATGAAGCGACATTTGAGTAAATATTTTGTAAAAGTACCATGCTGGGCACTGTTCTAAGCATTTTGCAATTATGATGTCATGAATGCTCCCGACAACCCCAAGAAATATGGCTATGATTTTTCCGGTTTTACAAATGTAACATGATACATTCATTATACATCTGAACTTCAGAGACTGAGGTTCAGAGATGCAGTGACTTCAGAGATCACACAGCTAGAAAGTGGGAGAATTGGGATTCGAATACAGACTTGCTTTAACTTTGGCGGCTGCGCGCTTGCATGTCTGTGCATACGCGGTCCACAAACCGGCTTTGGGAAAGGGCAAGTTATGGGTGCAAATGGAGCCTTGCAGGTACCCACCAAGTGCACATGGTGCCACCACCTGTAGTCGGATTTGATGGGGGAGGGGCGGCTCGCGATTTTCACCTCGCTGAATGGGCTCTCAGTCTGTGGCTGGGGAGTTTGGTGGCTCAGCTGCAAGCGAGGTGGGCCGGTGGGGGAGGGAGTGAAACTGCAAGGGTTGTCCCGGGACATTGCCGGCCGGAACCTCACCCCGCCGCCACCCCCAGGCCAGCTGCTCCAGTCAATAAGGCAGGGGCCTAGCAAGTGCTCGTCACTCTCCTGGTGGGATTCGCTTGGGTGTTCCTAGCACGGTTGAAGGGGGCTGGGGAGCTGAGCTCCGGAAGGGCGGACTAGAAGCCCCAGCGTCCTCTCCTAGAGAGCTGGCAGCTCTGGAGGCCGGTGCGCAGAGGGCAGGCAGAGCCACACGTTGCATGGAGTCCCCGAGTGCATTTGCGGGAGAGCCCCGGGCGTGGGACAGGGCTGTGGAGGGGCGCCTGGGAGCCCTGCGGGACACCAAGAGAGGCGAGGGTGGGGCTACTGCACAGCACACAGGGAGGAACTACGGCGCGCTGGGTAGAAAGAGTAAGAGAGAGACGCACTTTGCTGGTGAGGGGTCACGCGAAGGGCTTAAGAAAGGCCTAAAGAGGTAGAGGGTGTGAGCTAGCCTCCGGCGGGTGCTTAGCAAAGAGGATGCAAGAAAGAGGCCAGGAGAGGGAGCCGGGTGTAGGAAGAAGAGAGGGAACGCTTGCTGGGACAGAGCGTGCAGTGCCAAAGCGCGAAAACAGCGGGTCAAGGAGGGGTATCAGGCATGGCCTGGGGACCCCCGGAAAGTGGCCGAAGCGTTGCCCTTGGGCGCAGCAAAGAGAGAAGGGAGCACACGCTGAGACAGAGACAGTCCTGGGCGCTGGAGAGCAGGAGCCCCCTGCGCGGTAGGGAAGGGAACGTAAAGCCGGCGCACTCAGAGAAAGGTGCTTACTGATGCCCGCTAGGGTGGTGCCCACTAGGGCTCTAGAAAAGAGTGTTGAGAACCCCCGGGTGAGTGCCTAGGAAGGTCAGAAGAGTCAGCAAAGTCCACGGAAGATCTTCCCCCGGTTGGAGAGGAAACGCACCCTGGGAGCTGGAAGGGAGGGGAGAACTAGGCTGGGGGAAGCTTGATCAGGGCTCTGAGCACCACGAGGAGTGCAGAGGAGGTGCTGATAATTGCGGGGAGAGCTCTGAGAGCCCAAGAAAGGTGAGGTGGAGGTGGAGGTGAGAGGACAAAGAACTCCTAGCGCGCACAGGCCGGAGGAAGGAGCCGCAGAGAGCGCGCAGAGTCCCCTGCAGGGGCGCAAAGCCGCCAGGGTCTCTCCCAGGCTGCCTCTGGCCGTAATTCACTCACCATTATGGAAAAGACCAAAGCCACGATGTTGATGGGGTACGCAGGGCAGAAACACGAGACGATGGTGAGCCACAGGTAGTTCTTGGGCAAGGGGATGTCCTCCTCGGTTTTGTCATCTTCAGTGTTGGCCTCGGGGCTGCTGTCCAAAGCCCTCTTGAAGTCCGGGCTGGGGGCGTACTGAGACATGGGCGAGGCCGGTGGCGCAGGGAGGGCGGAGGAGCGCACAGTCTGTGTGGTCTGGGGCTCTGGCCGCTGGTTCGTGGCGAGGCTCTGAAAAGCCAGTGGCTCGGGGCTCAAGGGAGATGTGACCTCACCCCTTCTGCGTCCTCCGCCAGCACCCGCCCGGGCTCAGGGACCCCGGCCAAGAGCCTCTCCACAAGGAGGAAGGGAGGGAGAAAAGGGCTGGGGGGGGGGGTGGTGCGGGGAGGACAGAGGGAGCGTCAGCACAAGAAACAGGGGACAGGCAGACGAAGGCACCCCACTCCCTGAAGGATACACCCAGACACCGTCGGAGGGGCCCACAGACTCACACTGAGAAGTCTGGAATAAAAGGAGGCTCCGGGAAGGAGGACGCAAAGGTCCATTAAGTTCCAAATTGGCCAGCCCGCGGGCTGAGGATGACCAGCTCATTTTTAAAAGCCACTTAATTCAAATACATTTAGATAGGACAAGACGAACCCTATCCAGTTGGCAACAGACTCACTACTTGCTCTTGACTTCAATGTTTTACCTTAACTGTCTGGTGTGTGGGCATTTGTCTCCCATGCCTCAGACCTTGAACACTGAGCTCCAGGGATCTCTCCTCCCCCTCGCCCCACTCCTCCAGGTGGGCTAGGAACCAGGTGCCCAGCTTTGGCCTCAAAGCTTTCCACACTCTACAGGGAGCTCAAGAGACTGGAGTCCAATACAGTCAGTCAGTGGGCACTGCCTGGTCTGTGCCTGTCCGGGTGTCCTCCCCAGTGTGGAAACAAGGAATTCTTCCTTCCACTTTTCCACCTGCAGGACCCCTGGGGAGAAATGCAGGTAGATAAGGCTGGCCTAGGCAATCTAGATGGATGAGCGGGTTGGGGAGAAGAGAAAGGTATTCACTTTGGGGACTAGAACGAGAAAAGCAATTGTATCAGTGTCTAAGCTATTCATGAGAGGGCCGTATGGACCAGAACTGAGGCTTGAATCCAGACAGAACTGGGAAATTGTCACTTCAGGAAAGTCCCTTCATCTTGCTAAGCTCCTATTTCTCCATCTGACAAAGGGGAAATAATAATAGTCTCTGCCTCATAAAGTCATAGTGACTCTTCTATGAGATGGTACGTTACAGGTAAATCCACATGCTCAATAAATATTAGCTATTATTAGCATGCTATTCCTCCTTATATTCTGAAACATATAGTGCATTATACAGTATCCTAAACCTGATATCCTTTGCAAATATTTCACCAAAAATCCAGATATTCTGAACTGCAGGACCACAAAGAAATGAAAATAATTTGATCATGCAGTGTCAAAAGCAATTGCTCACATCATCATGCTCAAAAGTATTAATCATCTTCTTGGCTCCTTCAGAACATAAGCTGATTGCCTGGGACATTCTCACTTATCTGATGAGACACTCTTATTTGGTTATCTGCCTACCTCATTGGACTGCACACTCCCCGAGAAAGGGGGTCATCTGGCTCATCTTCGTGTCAGCATCTGGCACAGTTCCTGGTACAACGGATGTGCTTAGTATAGCTTTCTGGGTGAACACACGAAGATGAACTAGTACATTCTCCACCATGACTTCTTTTCCATTTTGATGGATTAATGAAATGGGAATAGCTAGAAGATGAGATTCATCTAATGAATTCTCAACCAAGTCTTTGCATTGGCTGTTCCCTCTGCTTCAGCAGTTTTACTCTGACTGTCACATGGCTCCTCTTTCTTATTCCTCTGGTGACAGCTCAAGTAACTTCCTCAAAGAGAGGTGTTTGTTTTTGATTTATCTAGCGTAGGTCTCCATCATTAGTTTACACTTGCCAGCTTGTTATTTTTTGTGTGTGTAGTGTGTGTCACAACTGTAATTTATTTCTTTACTTTTCCACTGTCTGTTCTTTCTCTAGACTGTAACCTGTCCAGCCTGTTCAGAACTGCATTTCCAGGACTTAAGAATTGTCCTGGCATATAGTAGGAATGCAAGAAATGTTTCTTGAATGAATTGACCAAAATTACCTGTAAGTATTAAAAAATGATTTTCAGGTCTTGATCAAGACCTACTTGGATTAGAATTTCCCAGGTAGCACCCCAGAAGTCTGTACTTTTAATGCTTGAGAAAACTGTATTTTTAGAACATCCCCTGGTGATTCTGATGCAACTGAGCAATTTCTCAGCTCCCAGTTCTGTCTCTAATTCTTAGAACACAGTTCTGGATCTTTAGTTTGGAGATTCTCTCAGGTGTCTCAAACTCAATGTGTCAAAGAGGAACTCATTTTCTTCCCCAAGAACCTGCTTCTTGAGGCTTGGTTTTTGGTCAATGAACCCTGCCCACTTTTCCAGTCTCTTCTGCCAAATATCTCCCTTCTTATTTATCTATTTATTTATTAAATAAATATAAATAAATATAAATAAAAATAAATATCTTATTTATTTTTAGAGACAGAGCCTCACTCTGTTGCCCAGGCTGGAGTGCAGTTGGGCAATCATAGCTCACTGCAGCCTCGAACTCCTGCCTTCAAGCGATCCTCCCACCTTGACCTCCCAAAGTGCTGGGATTGTAGGCATGCACCACCATGCCCAGAATTCTCTCCTTTCTTACTGCACTTCAGTTAAGTAGACATTTTCCCCACCTTCTCCAACATACCTAACCTTTTCCCACCCCGAAGTCTCTGTACCTACGGTTCTTCCTGGAATGCCTTCTCTCTTCTCTCACTATTGGTTCCTTCTTACCCTTCAGGACCCACTAACTCACATGTTGTCTCCTGACAGAGGCCTTTCCTGGCCATCATATCTAAAGTGGACCCCATCCTCTTATCCTCCATCCCATTTCCTTGTTTATTTCCTATGTCAGACATGGCCTTATTTATTTATTATTTGTCTTCTTATTTACTGTCTTTCCCATTAGAAAGGAAGCTCTACAGGGGCAGAGATATTTTTTTCTGTTTTGTTTACTTTGTTATTCCAAACACCCAGCACCATGCTGGCCCTTAGAAGTGCTCAATAGATAATTCATTGTATGAATAAATTGTGAATTTAGTCATCCACGTTAGGCACTTGGCAGCATTCTTCTTCTCTTTCCTTCAGCCTCTCCATGAGCTATTCATCAAACTATTGATTCCTTCTCAAATGTGACTCTTCATTCCATGTCCTCTTTTCCCATCCTCCTGGCCTTCCAATCCTGGCTCATATTCACAGTGAAAAAGTGCTCTCTGAACCAAATTTGTGATCTGAGCCTAGTGAATTTATTTTTAAAATATTTTTATTTTTATTTTTCCCCCTTCTTTTCACAGATGTTGATGAGGCTAGTTAATTTCGTTGGTGCCAGTAGCCCAAGGTTTGGGTACCAAATGCAATTTTGCTTTTCAAAGTTTTGAACTCTATTGTTCACTGTCACCTACTAGTGTCATCTAAGAAAAGCCAAAAGGATGGGTTATTGACTCGTTTCCTTCTGCCAGGAAAACAGCTGTTTAACATGAGCTGAACACTCTAGAATCGCCAAACATCGAACAAGCACCCATCGTTGCACTGAGTGCAGTCCCTGTGTGTATCATCTCATTTAATTCCTATAACAAATTTTCTGAGGGAGGTGGTGAGGTTTTCTTTTTCACAAATGAGGATAGCTAGGGAACATATAAGTAAAGGGACATGTGTAAAGTCTTCTAGCTAAGAGAAGGTGCCAGAATTTGAACTAGGTCTGAGATATTTGTTCAGCTAGCAGGTCCAGGCCAGAAAGGTAAATGGATATCTCTGATGTTCATTGGAATTATTATGCTCTGCTCACGGAAGATGGATTAATAGCTTGTTGACTGGTCTAAGATGTAGCAGTGAAATTGCCATCACTTGAAACTTTTCAAATTAAATTGAAATGAAAGTGCCTACACCAGAAAGTGTAATATATATGGCGCTGATTCTTGAGGGATGCATTAGATCACTCAGTGGGGGTTTCTAGCTCTAATTTCCTGAGCTTCACTAATTTTCTCTTGAGAGGTCAGTTTATTGCTCTTGGATGAACCCTACTGGCTGATTGCTTAATAATATGGCAATACCTCCCCACTTTAAAATGAGACAGAGGAGAAAGCAACTTTCTAATAGCCAGTCTAGGAGAAGGGAAAGGCTTACCGTAGCTTTCTGGATTCCAGTGTAGCAACTTACCTTTTTGATCTTTGAAACAAGTTTTATTTCCAAATGTAAAAGTAATATGTATTCATTTTAGAAAATTGAGAAAAACATAAACAGAATGAGGTATTATCCGAGTAACCACTACAAACAGAAGGGGCTATTTCCTTCTGGTCCTCTTTCTACATGTATATACTATTTTCCACTAAAATGAAATTAGATACAATTTTATTTCCTCTTTTTTTTCACTCAATGTTAAATGATAATTAACATCTTTTGCAGATATTTTCATGGTCTGCATAATTTCCTACTGATTAAATGGATTATTATTTATGTCACCATGCCCTGATCACTAAATATTGAAGTTATTTTTAGTGTTTGCACATTGTTATTTTAAAAATTGCGGTGATGGATCTCTTGTACCTGAGCGTCTGCATTCATGATCTTTTCTTTGTGAATTGTGATCTTACAGGGTAGATATCAGTCTTTGAAAGGGCAGAGAAAAAATTCAGATGGGCTGGTTGAGAAGTTGTATCATGAGATACGTACAAAAGGTAAAATTAAAATTTAGACCAAGGAAACAACCACAGAGTCAATGGACTACAGACATGAGATACTTCATAAGAGATGAAATGAGATGGATTCAAAGAACAACTTCCCAATGCCAAATGGATCCCTGAACCTAACATTCAATGGCAATAGATTGGTGTTGAATCTATGAATGTGTGCTGGAAATTTACGCTGTTTGATCTTAGCTATGTCTAGGATTCCAAAATAAAAGTGGGCTGGGGTAGAGGGGTGGGTCAGGTGGATGGAGAGAGAGAGAGAAAGAGAGAGAGGGAGAGAGAGAGAGAGAGAGATTGATTCTGCTGATCTGTGAGAATGTAAGAGAAAGAGTCCAGATCTTTAGGAAATGGTAAGAGGCTGAATGCATTTGCTGCCAAATTTCACATTAGTCTCAAGTGCCAGCTGTTAGTAGTCATAAAGTAACTGCTGTGGTCTCAGGGGTTTGCTACAAAATAACAGTGTCTTTTTGGCTGATATTATTAGAAAACCATTTGCCTTTCCACTTTCCAACAACTTTGGTCATCTCACAAGGAAAAAAAAAAAGAAAAACAGAGAAGAGGAAGCATAAGGGGGCAGCTGATCAGAGGAAAGGAAGTATAACGGGGAAGCAGATTCAGTATCCTTTCCTTCCTTCCTTCCCTCCTTCC